CCTCATCCATCAGAGTAATAATTTATTTCATTATCTGCATCGTTTCTCGCCGAAGTTAAAATAAAATTTGGGCACTTTAATATTTCATAAATTAGAACTGTAGAAAAATCTTGGCTTACCAACTTTTCTCTTCCACCATGCACAACCTAACTAAAAGTAAATAAATACGAAATTTCTTCCACATGAACTCCATCATGCTGGTAAAGAGCATTATATGCCATCCTGTTGTTAACTTCAATAACCGTCACACCATAAACATACGCTTAGGCTTAAAGCGTAAAGAATTAGCAAGTGATCCACAATGAAATATATACATGAAAATAGCGGTTCATCTACTATCACTAGCACCTCACTAGCACCAATTAGATAGCAAGACCTTATTGAAGATGATAATCAACATCTTTGCATCAGCTGACTCAGGTCCATCTACCTTGCATGAGAAAAGTATTGAAATAAGCATATTGGAAAAATTCAAAACAAGCAGTAAGAGATTGAAATTTTGGAAAGAACTTAAACAGAACTCACATGGACAAATTAGTTTGCTTCAACACTAACAGATAAAGGATGATGACTTGAAGATGGGTTGAGGTCTATTCCATTACATAAATAACTTGCAGTTAGAGATATATGATGAAATGGGAGTTGATCATGCAAAAGCATCAAAAACAGTGCACATACCATCTGGTTGTATTCGCAGCCAATCTTGAGCACACATCAAAGCCTGTTGAGTAACTGGGTTTAGAAAACTTCTACAACTGTCAAGCACTCTACCTCCAGCATTAAATGCTGACTCTTGTGCAAGGGTTGACATGGGAGTTCCAAGAACATCTCGTGCCATCATGGACAAGATAGGATACCTTGGTGTGTGAACTCTCCACCAATTCAATATGTTGAAATCACAATTACGAGGAAAGACTGGCTCCTCTAAGTATTTTTCCAGGTCCGATATTGAACTTTGGCTTTGTGAAGTCTCATGGAGGAATTTGTCGAAGCCCTTTAGTCTATCTCTACCATCACTACTGGTACTGGGTAAGCTGCTTCCAGGTAAGGCTGAACCCTGATCAATCAAAGTTGAACAAATTGAGTATGCATTAAAAAGTTCCTTGAGTCCGTCAGAAACTTCTTTGATTCGGTCAAGGGCAGTACTCCCATAAATCTGGGAAAAATAATACTCCACCAACTTCATCTTGAATCGGGGATCCAAGATAGCTGCAACTGCCAAAGCCAAACTGCACTTGCTCCAATATTTGTCAAACTTAGTTTTCATCTTTGCAGCCACAGAACTAAGAAAATTATCTGGCGTTTTGCACCATTCAATCAATTGGATGTGAACATCACAAATCTCAGCAAAATATATGTTAGCAGTTGGAGACCTGTTGCTCGAAAAGACATTGATAATTTCAACAAAAAGTTTCAAATAGCGAGTAATGGAACTCACCCATTCCCACTCTTCATTGCTCATAACCAATTCAGGATCAAGCTCAGGTAACTGATAAAATATACTCCTGTATTCTAAAGCTGTCTCAAGCATGAAAAATGTTGTATTCCATCGGAGTGGACAATCAAGAGCTAGAATCTTCTGACTATTGAGTCCAGCCTGCTGGGCAATCTCATTAAACTTCCCTTGTATTGATTGTGAACTCTTAACATATCTGATACTTCCTCTAATCTTTTGGATCACCACTTTCAGAGCTTCCATGGCATCTTGAACAATTGAATTAAGAACATGAGCAGATGAGCGCACGTCTAGCAGTTGACCATTACTCAAACGAGGCCTGTTCTGAGAAATGCGGTCTTTTATTCTAAGGACAATGTCATCATCTATGGAGCACTCATCAAATGTCATGGCAAACAATTTACATTCTATATCCCACTCCATCAGACACTTAATAATCACTTCTGAAAGCATGTCTTCAGTATGCGAAGAATCAAGGGTCACAAAATTCAGGATCTTCTTTTGTAGTTTCCAATCATCATCAATATAGTGTGCAGTAAAACACAAGTGCTCAGCATTTTCAGGTGAAGACCACATTTCAACAGCAAGGTTAATTCTCCCATGCAATTTACTTAACATCTCATATACCTTTATCTTCTCCTTTTCATAAATCTCCATACAAGAAAACTCAACAGTACTATTTGGCACAACATCAAATAAAGGCTGGAGATTCTTAACAAATACTTTGAATCCTACATGATCAACCATGGCCAAGGGGTAACCATGTAATATAATCATGCGAACAAGATCTTGCTGACTTCTCTCTTGATCGAATCTACCATTTCCAAGGTTGAAAACTTCATCTTTCCTTGGCTCAGGCTCATAATTTATAATTGCAGGCTTAATATACTCATCTTTTTTTCGCCCTTCATCAAAACTAATATTTTCAATGCTCAAAGTGTTCTCCTTTTTCCTTTTCTTTGCTGTGAGTAGTTGAGAAACATCATAGCCAGATTCAGATTTCTTCAAGCAGCGCAACAAGTGATTTCTCAGATGAGTAGTTCCACTATTACTTGATCCACTGAGTTTCTTGTGACAGTGCACACATATGGCATACCATATGTCAGCCTTTCTGACCTTTTCAAAGTGCTCCCATACAACAGAAGTCAGCCTCTTTGGCTTCTTCGTAGTTGATTCATTCAAGACTTCCATTGCATAGGCTTCAGAGAACCAAAGTCTGTGTATCCATTTGAAATCATATAAGAACAAAGATGAATCACCTTTTACAAGCATAAGGAAAAAAAAGGAATTAAAAAAGATAACTACAACAGAAATGAAGCATCAACGACATGCTGAAAACAACAGTGAATACTATCAATTAATCCTACATGAAACAGTGATTATGCAATCAAGCCTCTACATCAGACATGACAAATGTATTTGGTTAATTGTATTAAGGATTGCTTCCTGGCATTACAACTTCTAGAAATCACGTCTGAAAATGGAATATGTTCATGTTCCCATATTTGATGCCACATGGTGTCATGACAGGGAGGGTTCTAGGTAATCAAACATGATTGGTTGACAATAAAAACACTACAGTACTTTTTTTTAAAGAAATACTACAGTACCATTTGTTCTTTTCCAAAATAGACTTTTATAAACATTTTGATTAACCATAATCCGTTTTAGTACATTTCAATAACAAAATAGACTTAAAACTCTCTTTGTCCTTTTGTTTTAATTTTAACCTTTTCCTCAATTTAATCAAAATACAGTTCTGGGCCTACAACAGGAGCAAAAACAACTACCCTTGTCAGCTAAGGTTCTAAGCCTACTCAAGACATGAAAACCCATTTTTTAAACTTGCCATGTAATGGGAACAACCGGCCATACTCATGTTCTTATCATCTTCAAGTAAGAATTGCTCTATATCACTCAACAAGATTTAGTATTTGCACAAAAAGATCTAATTCTCGAACTCCGAAAGGCAGCAAATGATTAATTGAAAAGCAAAATGATATACTGAGACAGTGAAAATAGGCATGCACCCAAGGAATTGAGGTGGGGTAGTCCCCATCTAATCAAAATTCACCAAATAAACACACAGTTTAAAAAAAAAAAAAAAAA